GCACCTAGAGGTGTACCTCAAATCGAAGTTACTTTTGATATTGATGCCAATGGTATTGTAAATGTATCGGCACGTGATAAAGGAACCGGAAAAGAACATCAAATTGTTATTCAATCTAGTGGTGGTTTGTCCAAAGATGATATCGAAAATATGATCAAAGCTGCGGAAAAATTTGCCGAAGAAGATCGTAAAAAACGTGAAATTGTTGAAACAGTTAACCAAGCTGAAGGCATTATACATGATACCGAAAGTAAAATGGAAGAATTTAAAGATCAATTACCAAAAGAAGAATATGAAAAATTGAAAGAAAAAATTGCCAAAACTCGTGAAGTATTGGCCAATAAAGATAATGAAACGCCGGAAAAAATTAAAGAAACCTGTAATGATTTACAACAATCATCATTGAAATTATTCGAAATGGCTTATAAAAAGGTAAGTTGAATTTTTTTTTTGTGTGTTTAGATTTTCGTGTTTACAAATATTAATTTTCCTTTTTTGATTAACCAAAACAGATGGCTGCTGATCGTGAATCATCATCATCGCAATCATCATCATCATCATCATCGGATTCGACGACAAAAGAAGATGATACAAAAGATGATACAAAAAAAGAAGAAAAGAACTAAAAAAGATGCCACTATATAATTGAAATAATCAATTTTTTTTACAAACAAAATAATCACTTCTCCATATATAACATGTGTAGATTTTTTTTTCTTCTTCTTCTTCCTTTCATCCAGATCAAATAATCGTAGAATTTCTTTTTCTTTTTTTTTGTATTTGTTATTAGGATATATGTCTCATATATAATTTTGTTCCGGTTTTTCTATTTCATTTATTTCAAATTTTTTTTCTCTCACATTCAATTATTAAATAAATAACAAAAAAAATTAAGTTTTCATTTCCGAAAGACTTTGTCTTTTTATTTTATTTTTTTAAAGTAAAAAAGAAATTTTATCAAAAAATCATTTGTAATGATTTTGATCGCTTATAAATGTTTTCAATAAAACAGGCTTGATAAAATGATGATGATGATTATTATTGTGCTTGATAGATGGCAGTGTTTGTTGTTGTTGTTGTTGTTTGGTTTCCTGTTCGATAATGATTAGCTGATGATTGATTGGTAAATTTTGGCTATGAACAAATGATGATGATGATGATGAATGATTATTGTGGTTACCGAATGTTAATGTATTTGATGTTGTTAATAATGGTAATTTTGATGAAGATTTTGGTTGTTGTAATAATGTTGAATGTTGAATAGTCGATCCATCATCATATTGATCGGAATTTGCAATTTGTTGTTCATTGACAAATGTAATATGATTGTTTGATTTTTCAAAAGTGTTCGTGATGGATTTAGTAGCATCAATAATTTTCATCGTCAATGGCTCGTATATATCATAATAATCAAGTTGGCGATTAGAAGAAGAAGAAGATTTTTGTCTATTGTCACATATTGTTTGTCGTATATGATATTCTTGGATCGATGAAAATGAATCGATAGATTTATTCATTTCATTGCTGTTGCTGTTGGTAATAATTGAATCGATTCCAATAACATTATTATCATTATTATTATTATTATTGGCATTATTTCGATTGTTTTTTCGTTGTTGGTTACATATGGTTTTTGTTTTGTCCGTATCATTATTATTATTATTGGAAAATGATTGTTGTTGTTGTTTGAATCCTGTTCGATTATGAACAAAGGTTGTTCCCGTTGTTGTTGTTATTATTTCGTGTGAACAATCATTATTCATGTTATGGTTGCCATTATTGTCGTTGCTGTAGAATGCAATTATCACATAAATCAAAAATGTCAATACAATAAATATTGATAATATGATTGAAACAATATGAAATGTAGGCATATTTATCATTGATAATTCATTGTTTTGTTGTTGTTGTTCAATAATAATATTTTCTATATTCGAAGCTTTATATGCATTTGTTATGGTTTTTGAATAATTTGGTGGTGGTGGTGCGATCGTTTGTTCGTTATTCGTTGACAAACGAAATGTTTTTATTGCTATTAGCGAAACAGTTTGTTTGATCCATGAATAGAATCGATGAAATATTTTCGAGAATAATGAATGATCAAATGAATTATCATTATTTGAAAAATGTTTATCACTGTGTCTACCACCGCTATCATCATTATCATTATAATCATCATCATCGTGGTTATTGTAATGGTTATCACGCTGTTTACGTCGATAATACGAACGTTTTTGAAATTTTATTGTTAAATTCATTGATGATAATGCTTCTAAACGTAAATATTTTGATTGTAGATAATGTATTTGTGAATGATTTTCAATAATATTGATTTGTGGATCGATTGATAATCGACCATTTCTGACCACTAAAAAATGTGAATAATCAATCGATACATCTAAATTGCTACTTTTATTGTCATTATTGAATATTGTTTCGGTAAAATATGTAGCTAATCGTGGATTTTCTATTAACCAATCCATACTTGGTTCAATATTTAACAATTTAAATAAATATTTTTCTGGCTTGTCAATTGATATAATACATACAGCTGCTGTAGTAGGATTTTCGTTATTATGATAATAATATTCATTCATTCGATTGTAGCTGTCAAATTCATTCATACTATTGTTATTATTTTTGCCATCATCCAACTTATTGTGTATTGGGATTTGTTTTTGTTTCATTTCATTGTCAATTTCTTTCTCTTCATTATGTGCTTGATCGATCCGTTTATTATTCTTTTTACGTTTCTTTTTCATGTTTGAATTAAGTTTTTTCAAATTTTTTTCCTCATCGACAACATCAGAATTAACATCACCAACACTCATATGATTGAATAAATAATGATCATCATCCAATAGTAAGGCTGATTTAGATTCGACAAAAAATTCTTCATCAACATGTTTTGAACATGTTTTTATTATTAAATTTAAAATGATTGTTTCTTCATTATCACCATCAACAATATTCAATGTTTCAAACTTTTTTTGATTGACATGATTCACATCATGATCATTGAAAATTTCATTTGAATTAAGTTTACAACTACACGCATGTGTTCTTACTA